TACATTTTCATTTGGCTTTTTTGTAAATTTCCATTATACGAACGCAACTTAACAGCCGTTGTTGCATCAGGACATTTGGATGTAATTAAAGCCTTCGTCAAACAGAACGCGTACTTAGCGCCGCGTACTTAACGTCGCGCTCTTTTCATGTCACACAAATTGACTAGATGAGTCTAACGCTCCTTGACGCAACGCATTCGCCAAATCATAGTGCCTTTCGATAGCAGTGTGAAAATTTAAAGGTATTAAGAAATCGAGTGATTCAGATGTGGCATTGTATAAGCATGGGTATTTTCTAACTATTTATATCATTTTTTCGGGCATTATCTAGTATTTTAATACACATTCACTCGGACGCTAAAATAAAATTTGTAAAAAATTACAACGCCTGACGTCAAAGCGTTCTAACGCCGCGACAGAGCGCTGCGTACTTATAGCGCTGGGGCTCTGTTTGACGGTATGTTACCATAGTAGTACAACACATCTCGGCGTCAANGGTATTTTCTAACTATTTATATCATTTTTTCGGGCATTATCTAGTATTTTAATACACATTCACTCGGACGCTAAAATAAAATTTGTAAAAAATTACAACGCCTGACGTCAAAGCGTTCTAACGCCGCGACAGAGCGCTGCGTACTTATAGCGCTGGGGCTCTGTTTGACGGTATGTTACCATAGTAGTACAACACATCTCGGCGTCATAGCGCGGCGTCAATTTAGCGCTCTGACGCGCGCTAATTACGCACTCTGTTTGACGAAGGCTTAAGCAAGAGGGACTCAACTTACACATTTATGTATTGTTTTTTTTTTTTGTTGTATTATTTACCCCGTACTGTGGTTATCGGAACCCATCAAAACCGCGAATAGCGTCACCCACCTTGAGGCACGAGGCCAAAGTCTCAATTGTACAACGGTTCCATGCCTCAAGCCTGATCGAATCTCCATCATCATCATCATGGTTCCAAGCCGGTTTCGGCCACGGTGACCAAAATTCGAATTCAAGGCGAAAAGGCGATTGAATCTCCAGTATGCTTAGTGCGAGTTTTTTAACGAATTTGTATGAAGTTGGAACGTTTTCCTACGTTTGCCGCTAGGGGCGTTATTTAAAAAACTCGCACTAAGCAAACGGGCTCCAATAATTAATTAGACAACCTTGATGTTTGTTTCCAAAAAAAAAAACCAAATTTTTGAATAATTGGAGATTAGAACTACTGTATAATTACAATTTAAGCAGCCAATTCAGAGCTGACCACCGCCTTCGTCACCGAGTTTACCACATCAATTACCCAGTGCTAAAGCAACAGCTAAAAAAAGCCATTAATTGAGGAATATCTCAGAGATATAATGAACACTATTTATACGTTTTAATCTAGGGGTTTATTATTTTCATTATACCATTTGTGAAGTTACGGATAATTTACAGTTTCCATGGTCGAGGACTACGCGGGATTAAACAGTTAATGCAGTTGTAAGTAGGCCTAGGTCTTGCAAAAGCCGATGAACATATGAGGCGGTCAGCGCAAAAGTAGCCTAGCCGACAATTTTTCATATTCCGATTTATATATTGCAATTTATTCAAAACATAAAAGAAGTTTTTATACAAAACTGGCCTATCGCTAGTTTTTTTTTGCCCTTGTAGGCATAGGAGCACACAGCCCACCTAATGGTGAGTGGTTACCGTCGCCCATGGACTTCAGCAATGCCAGGGGCAGAGCCAAGCCGCTGCCTACCGCTAGTTTCACCCATAGATAACCGATGCCTTTGTAAACATTATTTTCGCGCGTATTGTTTTTGACTACGAAGCAGTGTAAAATTAAAATCTCATGAATCTCCATATTAATTATGGTAAGCTTAGACCACCTTTGCGCTGACGGCCTCATATAGCGGTCTACAGAATGACCTTCGCAACACAATAGTAATTATAAAGACAAGTGCAAATGTTAAGTGTATACCTGAGAGCTCGCCGGCGCTACGCTACAACAAAAACATTTATAAGGAGACATCCACATCGAATTGACGATTCCAATACATGGCAACGTCGCTTCTCAGTAAACTACATAATATCGACGCTTGAAAGGCAAACGTGACTAAGCGACAATAACTGCTTTATACATAAATGATAGGCAATAACCATATTCGATGCGCAAAAAAAATATATTTCTAGGTCTATTAAAATCATTTCAATCCTACAGCTAGATTCGTTAAAATAGATTATTTTTTTCAGGTATTTCAACTTTAAGTTAGTCTACTGTAAAGTTCACGCATTGTCGCTTAGTCACGTTTGCCTTTCAAGCGTCGATATGTTAAAACCGCAACATTTCTCGAAACAGTTTTCTGTGAGAAATATTTAACAATTAACAAAATCCGAGGTCACATTACCATTCTATTTTTTTTTTCATTAAGTAGTTTTAAATAGCATATATTAGTCGACTATTATCAAAGCCGGCAATCTGACTTTTGGACAATGATTGGTAAATCAGAAAAACGAATTATTGACTTTGTATTCCATTGGCAGTCACAAAACTCTTCGGAACGACATCTTAGATAAATAACAGGTTAAGTATTAACCTTTATTTAATGCAGGTTTTGAACCGTATTCTTTGAAGGAGACGATTATATTCAAATANCAATGATTGGTAAATCAGAAAAACGAATTATTGACTTTGTATTCCATTGGCAGTCACAAAACTCTTCGGAACGACATCTTAGATAAATAACAGGTTAAGTATTAACCTTTATTTAATGCAGGTTTTGAACCGTATTCTTTGAAGGAGACGATTATATTCAAATCAATCTGTATTGACATATCAATAACATTTTTTTGTCCAAATGTACAGATTGCCACCTTTGATAATAGACGACTCATATGATGATATCGGATAAAGAATTATTGTTTCAAGTGTAACTTTGAAAGAAAATTAACGCGATATTCGAGTAGCAATTTTTACAAACTTCTCTCAACATATTTATAACTAGCGACCCGCCCTCGCTTCGCTTCGGAAACTGTAATTTATTATTGATTTCTCCACTATTTAATGGATGTTATTATACATATAAACCTTCCTATTCAATCACTCTATCTATTAAAAAAAACCGCATCAAAAGCAGTTGCGTAGTTTTAAAGATTTAAACATACATAGGGATATAGGGACAGAGAAAGCGACTTTATTTTATACTAAATAGTGATTATTTAAATTCCGTTGCAAAGTATCGTGATCAATCATTACAAGTCATACACCATATTATTAATATTTTAGATTTCTCTCAACTATTTATCTAATTCGTTACGATACTTGTTTATTTTGATACTCGATGACGGACTACGATTTCTTGTACTATGGGAACCAGAGATCGATATATATAGTTATGTATGTATGTACTTAGTATATAAATATATGCACATATAGACATTTAACACCTAAAGAGGAAACAATCAAACCTGTTCTTCAGAGGAATGTTGGCGGAGCAATCAGCACTGACTAGTGCACAATTTAGTAAGTCAACGATAATTAATACAATGAAAATTCAATGCTCAGTAAATGTGTAAGTGAGTGAGAAAATACAGGAATCACAAATCAAAAACATCACCGAAAAACAATTGAAATTCCCTCTTCAAATTATCGATATTACGAGTGTCGTCATTATAGACGCACAGCACTAGCTGCTATCTATTAGTGATGTACTAGTGTGTTTTTTTTTTAAATGACTTTAATGAAAGATTGATTTACAAAATTTTAACACAAACATTGAGTGTTCGTCATAGGAAAGTAATTTATATACAATATAATATATATAAATATACACTAAAGAAGTAACGAAAATATTTTATAAAAACAAAACAAAAAACTTAAAAATAATTTAAATGTCTACGATATGAAAAATAGCTTCTGTTAATGCATTATTTAAATATAACATGGCTAATTAAAATTTAAAAAAAAAACAGCAAAAAATTGTGCAATACTTTCTATCGCTCGACATAAAATCAAAGTTATGCTGATCGACTCTAATACAATTAAGGCGTCTAAAAATTAAGGCCTTCGCATTAGAAAGTTTTATTATATAAACTACAAACTAATTTAATAATAAATATTATTATATCATATTTAACAAAAATATTCCGCGTTTCTTCATCGAAACATTTTTTTTTTTTTATAATTAGGGTTTTTCTTGTCGTGTTTTAGCTTCAACGACAGAACATATTCAAGATATTCCACCTATAACGTAGAAATGTAGCTAAGGTTAATATTAAAGTAGCTAATATTAATCAAATAACCATCTAAATATTTGTGGAATCGAACACTTAAGAAAGTCCTTGGGAACAATGATTTATGAGGATTTTTAATCGGCAAAATTACGTGTTACACTGTATCGATTTTTTTCGATCGTTCGTCACATGATCATCTATCTCTCTCTAACATCTAGAATAATTCACGGCTTTTCAAAAATATACTCAAAAGCATTGTCATTAAGATTATAAATCGTGTACGCATAATTTAAGATGCACGTGTATCTTGTAGTAACGCTTCGAATTGAGGGAGACAATTTTATTTTTATGTACCTTCAAGTTTTCAAGTTTTGTCCACTTCAAATTCATGTTGCATTTTTTATTTATTTCTTAGATGGATGGACGAGCTCACAACCCACCTGGTGTTGAGTGGTTACCGAAGCCAATAGACATTTACAACATAAATGCGCCACCCACCTTGAGATATAGGTTCTAAGGTCTCAGTTACAACGGCTGCCCCACCCTTCAAGCCGAAACGCCTTACTGCTTCGGCGGCAGAAATAGGCAGGGCGGTGGTACCTACCCGCGCGGACTCACAAGAGGTCCTACCACCAGTAACAAGCTACATGGGAACATCTTGAGTGTGTTCAGTCGCTACGTTTTTTTTTATTGGTTACAGGGGTGGACGAGCTCACAGCCCACCTGGTGTTAATTGGTTACTGGAACCCATGGACATTTACAACGTAAACGCGCCACCCACCTTAAGACAGTTACAGTTACACGTCACAAGATCGTCCTATATGTACGTCGGGCAGTGCTCCAGGCTGGTCCCGCAGGCGTCGCAGACCCTCGCGTCTCGCTGGTTGACGAGCGTGCAGGCGGGGCACTCCCGACCCCCCGACGTGAGCGGCTCGATCTGGGGGCCCCTCCTGGACTTGCCGCACATGTCGCACGCCACGAGCGCGTCCCGGTTCAAGTACGTGCACGTAGCGCATTCCCATTTCCCGGTTTTCGTTTGATTAGCCGGTTTTTCTTTCTCGTGCGATGACGACGTCCGGCTCGCGGGTCGGTTCTCGCCGTTCTGTCCCGGCGGCGACCTCCTCACTTGGTCCGGTTCATCTAACGACACTATTAGCTGCGCTTTCAGATCGTAGCTCTGCGGACTCGATGCTGGAAAAATAAGAAGAAAAAAAACAAGTAGTTTTTCGTCGGTGTACTGTCTAATTAAAACGACTTGTATGGTTACACTAGGTTTATTTATAAATACGACTAGCTGTACCCGTCCGCTTCGCTAGGGAATTTAAAATTAACATTATTATTTCTCACCCCCCCACAACGATTCTCATCATTAACCCAGTCCAACACTCATATAAATATTAGCCTATTCATTAAAAACATGTATTTTTTACATGAAACATCCGTAAAAAACACTGTAGATTTATAGATTAGACTTTTCAAAAACTGAACAAATAATTTTTAGTCAATTTAAGAATCAACCCATGTTTGACATAATATCAAAATCCTTAGCTTATTTTATGTATTTGTCTATAAACATACAAGAATGTAACGGATACTGTATCTTATATTAAAAAAAGCACCAGATTTCACGACCTCTCTCATAATTTCAATAATATAAAAAATCATCACTTCAACATGAAGATAAGAGAAAAAAGTCAAACACGGAATTGAAAACGACAGTATGAATGAGACATAAATATAGGCCAACTTATCGTGCGAGCGAGAGGTGAATAGATACATCATACTTCTATTTCTATCTATTTTGTACGTCAAATTATATTTTGAATGTCTACTGACAGGAAAATAAATCCACTGGCAAGTGGCCACAACGCATTTTAAGTAGATTAGTGTTTAATGTGTTTTTGAGTAATTTTTCTAATTTTTTTTTATTAACGAGGAAACCCTGGTATCATATTAGTAGAATTAAGTAACAAAACATTTTTTTCAAACAGCAACACTGGTCTGAATAACCTCAAAATGGAAAACAGTTTTAGTATTGCGCAAACTTTGAAGCGTCCGTTGTGTAAAGAAATTATATTATATAGGTGGCCATATTTAAGTTGTTTCTTTAATAATTGTACTTCGCATTTCTGTGAATTTTGTTCTAACTGCAGTCTAATATAAAAAAAAATTAAATATAGATATCACACAGAAAGAGGTAACAAAAAAATGTAATCGAGATTTTTTTTATTGCTTGGTTGGGTGGACGAGTTCACAGCCCACCTGGTGTTAAGTGGTCACTGGAACCCATAGACATCTACAACGTAAATGTGCCACCCACCTTGAGATTTTAAATTCTAAGGTCTCAGTCTACAACGGCTGCCCCACCCTTCAAACCGAAACGCAGTACTGCTTCACGGCAGAAATAGGCAGGGCGGGTAGGTACCAACCCGTGCGGACTCACAAGAGGTCCTAACACCGGTAAAAATTTCCAGAAACTACTTACATGCATTCGTTTTCGAAGAGTGCGCTGTATTTTGGTGGCCGTTCTCTGCAGTCTTGCCCTTTGGTTTGTCGATTTCCTGGGCTACCAATTTCGCGGGCTTCCTGACTTTCTTGACTTCAGCCGTGCTTTGGACGGGGCCATTCGCGCTGTTCTGCTGTTTGATAACGTCCTTCCTCTCCTTGATTTCCTTCTTCGTCAGCAGCTTGACTTTATCCGGGGCGACCTTGTTGGGGACCAACGCGTCAGCCTCGGGGTTACCGATAGGCTCGGTCGCCTTCCTCGTCCTTCTCTCGTCCGTTTGTTTCTTGGCGAGTTGCTTCGTTCGTTTCGACTCCTGTTCCTGTTTCATTCTCATTAGATTTTCGTTAACTTTCGCGGTCCTGTACATCTCCTCGTCGTAAGTTCGGTCCAGGTGTAACGCTTGGAGGCCGTCCTCTAAATCGAGGGTAGTCGGTTGGTATTTAGCTCTCCTCTCTTCCCTGTCCAATCTGTCCAAGGTCCGGGAGTCTCTATCGAGAGACGGAGAGAACCTGCTCCGGCTTTCGTCGTGGTCTTTACTCGATAAATTTCTGAAAACGTAGTCCCAGCTCTCGTAGGTGCCCATGCCGTCTTCTTTCGCTTTGCTTAGCGTGGGTTGCGTGTCAGAGCGAGGCAGACTTGGTAGAGTGACGTCACTGAAGCCAGACTTCGAAGTGCTGTTCCTCCTAGAAGATTCCTGTCTCCGCTTGTGCCTGTCTTCGTCTCTATACCTCTCAAATTTACCGTTCTCGTAGTTCGATTCGATTTCTATGAGTTGTCCCGTGGGCACTGCAGGATATTTGTACTGTGCGACTGGAGGGTAGCCATTGATTGGTACGTTCGTTGCGTGTTTTATGGGGGGATATACGGGCGTGGGGATCATGTATGGGGCCTGGACCGGGTAGTAATAAGGCACGCCGTAGGGAGTCATCATGGGGACTGTGCTGCACTGGGGCAGGGTGACGGGAACCTCGTGCGGGTGCTGGTACGGGTACATCATTGCTGGGGGCACCATGTACGGCACGACTGGGAAGTCCTCGTGTGGATCCTCACACAGGTAGCCGCACTGCTGCAGGGAGTGGTCGTGATATCGGGGGTCGACCATTCTACTGCGGTGGGGGGGCTCCGACGCAGCCGTCACAGGAACATTCGAATATATGTCTGAATCTAAAACAGTAAAATGTAAACGAAGATTAGTATTAGCGAACCAATTATGATAAAGGATATTGCATGATAATAATGGTATTTCCTTCTCCCTTCTATTTATCAGCCTTTATTAAAAATCAAAAAAATTAAGTTATATTTTTCCATCTTATTTTAATAACTGAGGTAAGTATTAAAAACTTAAATATGTAAGTCTACACTTATTATCTGGTTTTCTTATTCGAAACCAGTTTCTTGATCGTCTTACTGTACAGCATAAACCTCCCCAAGGGTTCTCCATAAAGTACTATCCTGCATTTTTCTCCAACCAAGTCATTCCTGCCACTTTTATGATGTCAGCATAAGGGACTTCGGTAAATAAAGATCAGCTAGCCAACTCAGCAAGAATTCGAATATTGATGTGCTCTGGTAACCACTCAACACCAATTAGACAGTGAACTCCTCAAATCTACTACGGTGGGAACTAATAATGAAAATATATTCAGTTTAAAAAATAGTCATCTATGGAGATTTTGTTACACCCTGTATGTGTATGTTGTACTGACCGTGTCCGTATCCGCGGCTGCGGGCGTGCTGCGTGTCGGGCTGCGCACGCTGCCGAGCGATCTCCGCCCATGTGGCGCGCACTCCGTTACTCCACACAGCCTCCCAGATCTGGCACATTATCTGATGAAAACACAAATACACCTTCTCTTCATTATTTCAATAGTCTGATATACAAATCACTATAGGGATTATTTTAATACTTCAATTAAAAAATCAACTGTGCTTAAATTATTATAAATGGATGAACAGAAAGTATTAGCATATTACATGAATATAGATATGAATGGAATGCAATGGAATGGGTGTTCCATTCCATTACTGACAACTTTGTTTGAAGTGCGGTCCATCCATAAGATTACATATAAATTACCTCTATGACGGTGGCTATGACATAACAAAGATACTTGAGAGATTCCCGAATCGCAAATGACAATTTCAAGATAAGCTTACAAAGATACAAGTCCCAAAGAATAACATAAGGTCCATCAGTGACTTACTCGTTTACTCCTAAGCCTCCTTTCCTGTTAGACAGTCTTTAGGTAAAGGGCTTTATTTGAAACAGTTTTACAGTCATATTTAGTTTATATGTGATTTTTTTATGTCAGTGGTATTACTGTTGGTCCGGAGGCCTTTCCAGTTTCACCGGGACAGATGTGCAAGCTAGGGCTCAGACAGGAGTATGTGAATAATACCCAAAGATTCACCTGACATTCACAATGCGCTATGAGGGCGTCCCTAGACACCGCAGCTACCATGTCAGGGCAGATGGGCTCTTCCAACACCAGCCTGCCGCTCCCGGCCGGCTTGTAGCCCATCGCGTGGAGAAGCGTCTCGGCACTGACGAGATTAGCTTCCACCTCGTGTTTGTAGTATCCAGAATACAACTGAAAAAATAATATTTAAATTACAATGCGGTGTGTTGCTGAAATAAACACCCCACAAATAACATGGCTTTTTTTCTTCTAGAGATGCTACGTCAGCGTAGGCGGGCAAGGACATATTTCGTTGTTTTTTTAATTCATTAAATAAGAAATGCTTAAGAACGCTCGTGTTACTTGAAATGCTTAAATATTCTAGAAGAAAGATAACTAAATGTGGATAAGTTATTTGTTTTTTTTTTTATAGCATAACAGCCTGAGCAGTGCTATCATATCATGCACAGCTTGGAGCAGAGGATCTGACGAGAAGCAACTGTCCTTATTCCTTCATTCCAGTATACCTCGAACTTAAATCCCAATATGAACAGCGCCAGTCATATCAAGTCAAGTTAGGCCCTGTTAAAAGCTAACAATAATAACTAATATCATATGTATGCTTACAAAATCTCGTAGAGCCCATTTCATTTCATTTTCATTAAGTAAACGTCATTACTACGTTTTTGTTATATCCTGTGAAATGATCTTACCCTGATAGACCTGTATTCCTTCCTCCAAGGCTGAGCGAGTAGGTTGGTCGCGTATCTTGCCAGAGCCGCCCATCCGATGCCGGCGCGGTAAGCACTAAAGTCAGGTAACTCGTTGATTGTCCGCTGGAAGACTTTTCCCGTCTCCGATAAACCGAACTTACATTCATGAGGCACTAAAGACAGGTACTCGATTATATAATCTGAAAAATAAACATATTTTTTTAAGAAACATATAACTGATATGCCCAACTTAATAATTAATTGTTATTGTTTATGCTGAATTGGTAGAGTAGTTGTTTTGGTTTCAATATTGGTCCCTCAGAGAGAGAGAGACAGACAAGACACTTTATTGCACACCAAAACACAATTTACATTCAAAAACTGTCAAAAAACATATACATTTGTACAATATGTGGTCTTATCAACAACCGTTTAATTTATAGAAATTCTGGAAAATATAAAAATATAGCAGGTATGTTGCAGTGTACTATTGATAATACATTATTATAGAAAAAAATATATATACAATAAATAGATATAACCAGAGCTCATATTACAACAAATAAATCTCATCATACATTTGCAAGATTATCTGACCTTCAAGTTTCTTCTTCTGCTGCAATTTCTCTGGACTTTCGTCAGTCTCGAGGTAGCTGTAGTGAGCGTCCTCTATTCTCCTCCAGAGAGCCGGTAGCCGCTCGCGCAGCACCGTATCACCCATTCCAGCAACGCACGTCATCACCATTACATTTATACTCCAGCTGTTGGTCAATAAACATTTATATAAATATTTATACAAATTCTCGAAGGAAATAAAACTGTTCAGAAAACTTAGGCCCCATTTAGTGATAGAGGTCATAGACACAACATTAAGGATACCATTGGCCATTTTGAAATATTGCATTTAATTAAAGATACCTTTTGGATAATGACCATTGTGTTGATCGTAATAAATGAGTATGTGATTTTTATTACATTTTCCTAAATAATGAACTTGCAGTAAGAAATTTTCAGGTTTATGTTAATGGTTTTCATGCATTTTGAAGTGTTAATATATTTGTTTTATTAATAATTCTTTGTTTTTAATATGAGTGCATTTTTTGTTTCCGATAAAGTTTCCTTATTTAAGTAATCTTGGAAAAGTTAATAAATTGTCTGTTTAAACTTAATACATTTGGTGATAGTGATGTTCTATTACAAAATTACAATTCAAGGTGATCAATATCCTATGTCACTAGAAGGCAAAGGCTATGATGGATAGGAAGAGCATCAGGAACAAATCATACATGGCCGTCTGGCACCAAACATTTTATTTATTTATTGTTTTGATGGGTGGACGAGTTCACAGCCCAACTGGTGTTAAGTGGTTACGGGAGCCCATAGACATCTACAACGTAAATGCCACCACCCACCTTGAGATATAAGTTCTGAAGTATCAGTACTAACAATGGCTGCCCCACCCTACTAACCGAAATGCAATACTGCTGCATGGCAGAAATAGGCGGGGTGGTAGTACCTACCTATGTGGACTCACAAGAGGTCTTACAACCAGTAGTTACCAAGTTACAATTTTGCGGGTTTGATTTATATTACACGATGTTATTCCTTCATCGTGGAAGTCAATCATGACCATTTTTTAAGTACATATTTCATCAGAAAAATTGGTACCCGCCTGCGGGATTTAAACACCGGTGCATCGCTAGATACAAATGCACAAGACGTCTTATCCACGGCCACAACAACTTCATGATTATGACTGTGTTTCTCTGTACTGCCACAATGAACTTATGTACATACTTAAAAACATTAAAATATATGTATATTTAGGTACTGAAAGTCGAGACAAAGAGCAAATATATAACTTATTTGTCATTGGAATTTCTGCTCAAACTGAGAATAGAACTCACAAGCCTTCAGCTGTCAGGAGCAGTGACAACAGCACCACCAAGTTAGTGCATAAATTCATCATAGTTTATTAAAAGAATATAAATTCATTATAGTTTATTAAAAATATTTTTATGGAAAACCTATGGCTTATTGTGATATCACAATATCCCACCAAATTTAATTCTCCAAACAATTTATGTCATACAAGCCATCATCAAATACAAAATACCCATTCATGGCTCTTGTCACCACTTAAAACACAGTGGTCCCTAGATTCATCAACGCATCTGGAGAACAATAAAAAATCAATTGTTTGGTGATCAATTTCTAATATTGTGATACAGTCTTCAGAGAAATATGTCATATCTTTAAATATTATTGAATTGATAAAAAGAAAACATTATAGGCATTTTATGGATTAACCAGGTGGGTGGCGGCTAAATAATGCACTAGTCTGTGAATGTAAATGTTACATATTTATATTAACATCCTGTCAGTACTATTAGTATACAATCAATTATATAAATTTCTCACTATTTGTATTATAACATTAAATTTAAATTTCCACATCCCCACAAAGAGTTGCTTATCAATTTGTCGAGTGGCTACTGTGCTGTATATATAGTAAGTGGGTAAAAATCCAATAGGTAAATATTTCTACTAACTTAAAATTATTTCTTTATGGTTTCAAAGAATATGTACCTAGCTAGTGTTCTACATACTGTTATCTGTAGTTAAAGTTAAATGGAACGATTATAATTAAAGAAGTATTATAAATAAACAAATACAAGGAAATATAGTGTGTGTGTCTTTACTCCCACGCCAACTAATGTAAGTTTTATGTTACATTATTATCCGTAAATAGCTAAAAGTCCAAACAAACAGGAAACGTAGAGACAAAACCGAAGATTATTGAACTCACCATGCAGTCTGTTCCTGGTTGTCAAAATTTATTTCGTTGCACCGAATGTGGAGCAGACAAAAATAGTTCACCCAAAATAACAATACCACAAATAGCTATTTTTATTTAATTTCTAATGTTAACCAAGATTACGCGTTTTGAATTCATCGTATTTAGCCGCTCGCCTTGAATAAATATTACGTTTAATAAAGGTACCAAAATTAAAACAAAAAAATACGGAATTTGTTTTGACATTTGTTTGATGGCTCATAATTTTTTATGGGACATTCTCGGTTTCGATGGCAAAAGGATTTGATTGTTAAAGTTTCTGATTGAAAAGACTGACTAGTGTAAATGATTCTTGGCATAGGCAGTGCTTCGTTGAACACCAAATCGGAGTCGAGACCCACTGAAAAGATCTGGCGAGAAACTCAGTGGGTTGTGTTCGATGGTCAAGTTGCAAGTCGAACCCTTGTGATGCTTAAAGGTTCCGAGATTGGATCGAGTTTTTTAGGCATACCGAGCACCGAAAGATTATACATTTTCTGTCACACTGTTATGGAGCCGTTATATACTTAATTTAGATTGCTAAGGTATTCTGTTTATTATGTAAAGATAAGTTTTATTGAAGCTGACGAAACAGTCATTCGTTTCCATTTCTTCAGGAAATTTTATTTTTAAAGTTAATGTAGGTTATACTTTGTTAGTTAGTGTTTAAACATAAACTTCTTCTTATTCTTGCCCTTATCCCACATTATGGGAAGCCGGCACAGGCAGCGTCTCCTCTTATCATGCTGCATAGGGATTTGGATTTGATGTCAACCCGCCCTGGCTTGTTTCCATTGCAACGTGGCATACGGAGGGACTTTTGTGTTTCTTTTTTTGTCTTTCTCTTTGGTTCTATGATTTGCACTATTATTCAGATTTTGAATACCATAAAGATAAAATGTGCTAAGCTATTTAAATGATTATATTCTCTTTGCTTATTTGGAAAATATTTCAACTGTTAAAACTAGAATTTAATTACATTTTGAAAGATATAGCTATAGAATTTCTACGATGGTAAATTATATTTTGTTTTTAGATGTTTTACGCCAAGAAGAAATTGAAAAATTCTATAAGGTCAAATATAAATGTCGAGTTAAAATTTATTGATTTACCACAAAAGTACGATTTAATTATTTTTATATTGTACAAATTTCAGGCTTGTCAACTGCACCGGGAATTTTACAAGGGTTATTCGAAAAGTCCACATCCTTTGGATTATTTCAATGAGAGCCCATATAAATGGCAATGTCCACCAGAAATTTCTCCGTTAGTTTTTTTGGTTGTATTTCTAATATGTACCGTATTAATTGTGGTGTTGATGAGATTCGCTCATAACCATTTAATTTTGGCGGTTACCGTAGTCCACAGGCATCACAACGGCTCAACCTTGAAACAAAATGTCAATTGTATCGTACAACAGCTATTTCACGCATCAAACGAAAAGCATGACTTGCATATGGAAGAAACATAAGATAGAATAGGATAGGAATACCAGCTATTGAAAACTATACAGCTATATCTTTTGTTGTTTCAGGATATATTTAAGTTTTCCCCCATATCATATCAAGTATAAATCACCAGCAGCGTTACCAACATCGACTGGACGAACCATTGATATACCAGCCCTGCCACACCGCTCTTTAGCTGGTAGATTTAATAAGTCAGCATGCAAAGCTTTTATTCGTTAAATTAAATACTAATGAAACTATAAAAGAATAATTTTTTCCCACAATATTGTTTTATTCAGTGGGTCTATTCAAAAACCTACGATAAATACTGGATAAGTCTTACCAGTCGAAATTAAGAAAATTAAATCACACAAAGTTGTAATTACATAATCGTTACAAGCTGGCGTTCTGGATAATAAAATTAACACAAAAGATACGTTTATTGATAGCGTTCTTGACACATTACATACAACTTGCTGTTGTACATCTATTTTATAAGTTGTTGTTGTAGTCCTAGGATACCCGGTGGTACGTAGGGCCCTCAAAAGCTATCTCCACTTGACCCTGTCTTGCGCTTGCTCTTTGACATCACTCCAGGTCACGTCGGCAGTCCTCATATCGCTCTCCACGGTAATTGTACCAAATGATGCGGTTAAGCTAGTCATAAAATCTCGTAGGCAGATACTAATTATACTATATAGATACTAATAAGGAAACTTGTTGGACGGTTAAATTTGAAGGGATTGAGTTCTGTAGGTGATGAGAGGTTATTTAAAAACACAACTGCTTCATTATAATTACAGTCAAACCTGGTTAAGCGAGAGTTCAAGGGAGCACAATCTCATTCTCGCTTATAGAGGTTTCTCACTAACCCGAGTTTCTCGCTAATGCACCCTCTGAATTTCTTTTCGTGATTTTCCGGATTCAAAGGCATTCACTATTTTAAGTTTATCACTTAATGACAGTACTTTAATTTTCCGTTTTGACATGATGCAGAACAGAACTGTCCTTCGCAATTGATTAACGATAAACTGAGTAAGTCCGACAAACAGGACGGTACGCAGGCACACTTGTCCTTTTCGAAAAGAATGCGATAAAATAACAACGTTATTTAGTTCCACGAAATAGAATAGGTTCAATATTGACGAGAAAACAACACAAAAACATTGGTAGGAAGTTCCGCGAAAGTTAAGAAAGAGTCATAAAATAGCAGATGTTCAATTTGTAATTTGTTTTGTAATTTATTCCTTCTAAATAATATAAATAAATAAAGCTCGACTGTCGCTTATAGAGGTATAGATAAGTAACAGTCTCACTTACGGAGGTCCATGAGGGAAAAACGACTCTCTCTTACAGAGGTTTCTGTTTCTCGCTAATAGAGGTTTTGGGAGCTTAAAATGACGGGTCCTGGCTATTACTCTCACTTATAGAGTTTTCTCACTTATCCAGTTCTCACTTACCCAGGTTTGACTGTATATTGCTGATAGCTTGAACACTTTTACACCATTATACAATTATTATCTTTATATTTTTTATAAAACTATTTCATGTTTCTCTTGCCGTGTCTAGATGAGAAGTTTAACATTTTCTTACGAGAATACAATGATCTGTTTTTTAAAACATTTAAAATAATTCCAATATTCGAAATCTAATCAAGTGTCAAGTGTTGCCTGCCATTACATTTAATATACAAACTCCAACACACCCCCTCAACACTTGCACACATTTTTCTCCGTCTATAATTTAATACCAAAAAAGAATAACGCTAACCTGACCTTCATAAATTANCAACAATATGTTATCTTAACAATTCACTTTAACACTTGTCCAACTTTAACCAGTACGTACAACAGTCACTGAATCACACAACGTAACAAGGATATAGTAAGTGCACCAGGCAAACGCAGTCCAACGAATGTTCATTGCAAGGCACGTTCCGCCTTTTTATACTAGCCGGCGCAGCTGGCTTATGAGTCACTTCTGTTGCAGCTGTTTACGAGTCGAACGACACGGCCGGCGCACCTGGCTTGTGTGAGTCACTCCTATTGCACGTGCTAAACAAATATCGTTAACGCCGTCATATGCATTATTCCGATTTTATACAGGTTTAATGAGATTAGTTCTTGTAAAACGCATACGGTAGCTATTTGTTGTATTTAAAGCAAAACAAATGCCAGTTAAACGTCATTTTTTAATCTAATATGTAAAATCGACGTGAAAATTGAATAAAAAAAAATGTGAGCCGTCACGGGACGCCTGGCAGATGTGAAACATCGACATTATTTTGTAAAAGTAATATACAGAAAAGAACAGATTGTGATAGGAACTAAATATGACATAATGATAAAATAAAATATTACGAAAAAATAATTTGTTTTCAAGTAAAACACAGGTTATGTGTACTGTAGTAAACCACACTGTATACACTACGGAGTATACACTATAGGTATCCGAGCTCAGTGTAGCGAGAGAGATGGCTTAACGCCGGATCGAGTGGGAGAGAATCGCACGGTCGATTGCGCATGGCGACGCGTCGCCACGCCAGAAATCGGTTTTACGTGCGGCTATAGATGTTTCACATCAATAAATCAATTTTTTAAAGTACACCATTTTAGATTTTGTGTGTGTGTGTGTTTACAATAAACAACAAAGACAGAAGGTATAAAAATAATTGTAAATAGACATGCTTTAACAAAAACCGACTTCAAATAGATAAAAAAAGATATTCCAAAACAGATATATAATATACACTAAAAACAATAATCATCGAAATCGGTTGGCGTGATATTGAGCTATTCATCTATTTGTCGCGCACGTACTTAATGCAAATTTAAGACTTATATGGTTTTCTCATGGATACCGTTACCAGGATTGGATTAAATTGAAATGGGACCACACGGGAAGCGTCAGCTTTCTAATACAAAAAGAATCATCAAAATCGATTCACCCAGTCAAAAGCTATGAGGTAACAAACATAAAAAAACATACAGTCGAATTGAGAACCTCCCTCCTTTTTTGATATCGGTTAATAATGATTTTTTGGAATTGTTTTTAACGTTATCTCAGACATTTAGATAACGAATCCGTTAGTCAACCGAGAGCATTCACAAACTCGTCTTACGCGGCTACGCACACCTGAATTATGCATAAAAAATGAAAAACACAACAGTACATACGGGCCCTGGATGGATTGGTACTAAAAATCACGCATACAGCTTGGCAACAACACGAAATATCTATTGGACAGCACTTTTTTTTTATAGCTTAGATGATTGGACGAGCTCACAGCCCACCTGATGTTAAGTGGTTACTGGAGCCCACAGACATTTACAACGTAAATGCACCACCCACCTTGAGATATAAGTTCTAAGATCTCAGTATAGTTAAAACGGCTGCCCTACCCTTCAAGCCGAAACGCGTTACTGCTTCACGGCAGAAATTGGCGGAATGGTGGTACCTACCCGTGCGGACTCACATGAGGTCCTACCACCAGTAAACACATTGAATAAAGCACATTGAGGGATTAACTCATTTGATAAAAGTTAACGTGCAGAATCAATTGTTTCGAAAGAGTGCGAGGGGCGTTTCAATTTGAAATCTTTTACGACGCTAATTTTGTTTATTGCTCTTGAACACAAAAAATACAGTACCCGACGATAAATTTAATCAAATTCTTGGAGCTTTATTTAATTCTCATGATCCCGCAAACCCGTGAGAACCGCAAAACGTCAAATAGGTTGTGTGCGACAGAGATAGCGATCTACGAAGCCGACATTAGCCGAATCTCTTTCCAAAGGTCGATGTGCCTTATTTATCACTAGGTACTGTAGTTCAGACACAGCGCACACATTTTTCCCTTTACGAGAGAGCAAAACTTCATCAATCTGTTTTAACCAACACTACTTAGCGGCTAGTTATGACGACAACGTTTTTTTCTGAGATTTTCTAAGTTTTAGGACCTCATTTGGCATGCAAACACTTAAGTAAAAATAACCCAAGCATATCTAGGTCTTGATCTTACACGATGCATTATTATTAGTATTTTAGCATAGCTATAAAGATAATATTGTTAGTGTCGAAATAATATTATTCAATGTGCTCTCACGTCACTTTATTATACCGCATACATAAAAAGGGAAATAAAAAATGCGTATTTTGTTATAACGATAGAAAAAAAATTGGTGTACATTTTCATTTTAGGTAAAACGTAATGTTTTGATAAAAATCTGCAGTATGTATGAGAAACGTCACGTGCCTAATGTTTATACATAATATAGACGCAGCTGACTAACGCAAAGATTAAATCCAGACAAAGTTTGTTTAGCAGTTTGAAAATTATAATGGTGTCGCTTTAAGACTATTGTACTTAGTAATGTTTGATTCACACTAACGCGGTGGATATTTTAAGTATTTTATAAAAAATTGTAGGAAGGTTCTTTATTTGTGTTATTCATGTAAAGTTTTTTTTTTTAATTGCTTACATGGATGGACGAGCTCACAGCCCACCTGGTGTTAAGTGGTTACTGGAGCCCATAGACATCTACAACGTAAATGCGCCACCCACCTTAAGATATAAATTCCAAGGTCTCATAACGGCTGCCCCACCCTTCAAACCGAAACGCATGACTGCTTCACGGCAGAAATAGGCAGGGTGGTGGTACCTATCCGCGCGGAGTCACAAGAGGTCCTACCACCAGTAATTACGCAAATTATAATTTTGTGGGTTTGATTTTTATTACACGATGCTATTCATTCACCGTGGGAGAAGTTTGAGTTTAAAAATGATCTAGTCTGGTGTTCTTATTTCAGAAAATGGAACTGCTCCACGTCATCATTAAGTCAGGTCCGTCACCTCGACCCTTGGCCTGGTCGCTCGAGGTATCCGCATCGGAAAGCGGCGAAGACTGGCGCATGATCCGAGCGTATGGAGACAAAGACCATTGCAAGAAAATTTGGGATTTGCGACCAGAGCGACGGAGGAGGAAAGCTAGGGCGGCAAAGAGAATTAATAGAGCTCATAAAATTAGTTGTTCTACACAATTTGCTAATTATAAACCATTAGAAAATGGAGAGGTGAGTAAAAAGATATATGATAAGATCCTTATCGAGGAGGTATTCAGTAATTTTGTAAGAAATAGCTAAGTGCGTATCTAAATTTAGAGTCGAGATGACGAGAGGGGTACTCAACAGACCAGAGCTGTATTTCCCGGTTGAAAGCAGTTTCAGCCTTGCGATGAGTATTACTCCCATCCTTGTGCTTGAGTTCCCAAATACCAGCTTTTTTCATACAGATGAGGGCTATGCGGATTGTCGATAGTGTCATCGTTTGGAAGGAGCCAATAAGACTTTGATTATCTGTGTGTTTTAATACCGTGTGAGAAGCGCTCTGAGTTTGAAATCATCTCGTAATTTGCTCTACCCAATGAAACCAGGACAGAGTTCATCCATACTTCACACCAGAGTTCACCTATACTTACTCCTGCTGTTAAGTGGTTACCGGAGCCCATAGACATGAGTTGTAAAGTCTCACTTTTAACAGTACAACGGTTGCCCGCCCTTCAAACCGAAACGCATTACTGCTTCACGGCAAAAATAGGCAGTGGTGGTGGTATCTGTGCGGACTCACAAGACGTCCATCAGTAAGCTAAGCAAAAAAAACTTTTCGTTTTGTCCGCACTGTTGTCTTTGAGAATCATTTTGGAACACCCTGTATAAACTAAATACACATTACAGATGCATGTGGCTGTCGGCGAAGGAGTATCAGCTCGAAGAGTTCGTATATCGTTTCGCGGCGCTCACCTGACTCCGTCTCGGCAGCAGTACTACACCGTGCGATCCCTGACGTTGGCGGCGAGATGCTTGTGCCATGGACACGCCCAGCGATGTGCTGTCGATAATAAAGTAATGTTACGCGCCGGGGTTCGGGATAAATAAAAAATTCTACTGAAGTACAATTTAAAGCTGTATTAGCGCTTAGAACACTTAGAACACTTCACAAACACTTTAAAATTCTCAATTCACTTCTTCCGCTTCGCCTCAGGTGATCCGTTCGCTGTTTCGCTTCGAGTAGTTCCGATTACTAACTGACTGCGTGCGATCCCAGCAACGCTTTTATAGTCGATACGACATCCCTAGAATTATCGACAACATTCCTCACAGGTCGAGTATTTTCGATGGGTGTTTCCGCAATCTGACAATAGATGGCGTTGTATTTCTCGAGCGTTCTTGATGTTACTAGATTCTTTGATATTCGTTTCGATTATTCGGCAACCGATGGCGTTACTCTTGCCGGCGTAACAGTAATAAAGCAATCATGAATAAAGCTAAATGATAATAATAACTTTAAAACTTTTTAGTTTTGTTTGTCTGTTATTTAGCAAATTCACTGTTCTTCTTGCAGGGTGCGAAATGCGAATGCTTGCATGCTACGTGTGGATCTCATTGCCATCGATGCTGTTCTGGTGGATCTTGGGCTCCACACAAAATCTGTGATGAGACGCTGGAGTGCCTCTGCGGAGAACGGGGACAGTGCTCTTTCGATGACACTGGCGCTACTCTGTGTCTTAACTGTACGGTCAGTGTCATCGTATGCCTTGTGTTCAATAAAGGAACCATGTTATAGATAATTATTTACGACTAGCTGGCTGACCCGGCAGACTTCGTAGTGCCTCAATCTATAAATAAAAAGCCTAAACTTTTGTATAAAATAAACTTAAAACAAACAAAAGAAATCTGTCCGACGGGGGACACATCAAAGGAAAAACAAAACTGTTATTTTCATTTAATTCCAAGCATTTTCATATTTATCTACCTCTTAAACCTTCTCTGGACTTCCACAAATAATTCAAGACCAAAATTAGGTAAATCGGGCCAGGCGTTCTCGATTTTTAGCGAGACTAATGAACAGCAACTCATTTTCATATATAGGTATAGATGGCAATATTTTTACTGATCTGATCTTAAGCAATGTCTATAGATGATCAAGATTTTAAGTGTATTATAATAATGTGAATTGGTGATTTGATTGTAATGTGCAATGGTGCAATTCAATATCGGATTGCTTCCGTGAAGAAATAGGATCAAAACTCTGCCCCTACTACTCAACAAATGTTATTGAGTCAAACAGAGCCTAACAATTATTAAAATACCTATAATAAAACAATAGACAACGATATAATTGTTCTGTACCATTTTCATTCACCCTTGTAATGTATCTATTTGTCAATCGATTTTTTTTTTGTTTAGTAACTATTGACGGACTACAATATCCTCTTATTCAATATTCGAGATTCTGTTGAAATGCTGATTATTTTAATGCAAACATCATAACAAAATAAAAGAGAATAACAGTTACATGCATAAGCTAAATCTATTTATTGAAAGTGAATATTGACGAATTTCGATCAGCGGGAGAACACTATTGTTCACAACGTATATCTTATTATACATACGTATATCTTAAAGCAAAATGATTCCATCCCGCTTTCCCCCTTCGCTTCACTTTCCCCCCTTTGCCTTTTCATGAGTTTTGTCTCATGCGAGGTTTGGACGTTGGTTGTTGAGAGACAGGAGGTTTTAGTCGGTTCGACTCCGACATGCCCCGCCCTCCATCCCCAGTGAAGGGCGGAAGTCCGGCGATTTCCTCCTGACAAAAAAAAAAAAAAGCTTAGGCCCGAGCGTAGATAAACCCTGCAATAATGAGATATATCTAATTGTTCTCAACAGAACAGCGTTGTTTGCTAAGCAGACAGACATTAGGGCTCAATGTAGTTCGTTTTGACACATAAATATTAACAAATTCAAAATTTTCCGCTCTTTTCCAGGAAAATCGAGGTGGACCATCATGCGACAAATGCTTATTCGGATATTACAATACGGCGTCGGACGGGCCGTGCGTGCTCTGTGACTGTGACCCTGAAGGATCTGATGGTAATCGTCGAGATGTAGTAGCTTAAATTTTGGGCAAAAAATATATTGAAAAAAAAAAAACTGGCCAATAGGACTTAATATTAGAGTACATTGAAAAATCTTGTTCGATTTTTTATTGAATTTGGAAAATGTAAATTAGTTAAACAATAACTAAAAATTTGAATCATCGTCAATTTAAATTATTTCTTAAATCCTACACTATACTAATACGACTAATCAGTTGAAATGGTCTTGTTTTTCTTGATTTCTAGATTACAAATATAAATTTACACATAATCAGCCTAGTAGATTTTGTATGATAGTTGTTAGCTCGATAATAATCCAATAATAATCATGTTATAAAATCAAACCGTACAATCATGCCTTGTTTGCCAAATACTGCTCAGGTATTACGATGCTAAATTTCTACCATGATATCTATGAGACCTGACAACCACTTAACTTCAGACTTACCATGTGGTTCAGCTATCAATGCGACCAAATAAATCGTTTTGCTCCTAAATCCTATACGATAATATTCTTCTGCACAGAACAGAAGAATTAAGTTTTGTATTTTAATGAGCTTGACTCATTTAAACGGTAGGAAATGGCTTGGCTCTGCCCTTGGCATTGCTGACGTCCATGAGTGACGGTAACCACTCACCATCAGGTGGGCCAAATGCTCGTCTGCCTACATGGGCAATAAAAAAAATCAATCACTGTAGCAGATAATTGCTGCCTCAAAGTTCTCGGAAATATTGATATTGCGTGCGTATCCGGTGAGATTTTAAAACGTATCTACCCCTAGGTTCCTGCGAATGGGACAACAAGCGTCACCGAGTATCGTGCAACTGTCTTCCTGGCTTCGCCGGGCACCTCTGCGACTTCTGCGAGTCCTCGAACGCTGTTTTTCCTTTATGCCATGACATCCCCACCGAACCGCCGTGCAAATGTGACGTCAGAGGCATCGTGGATCCCACAAGAGAGTGCGATGAAGTCTGTGAATGTAAAGTGAGTATTGGTGTTCACGTAAGGAATATCAGTCGATATTTAATTTTGTATTAAGTAAGTGTACATATCTCGATTTGTTTACTTACTCGTAATGGTTAATGTTTTGACTCATAAATTACTCAATCACCGAATCTTTAATCAAGCAGTTACGTAAGCGAAGACTCCTTGCGTACCACCGCCCTGTTTGATAAAAACTAGCTAACTCAATTATACTGGGCTAACACTTGCATGAATCTGCCAACTATAAAGCTATGTAATGGCAAAAATTTGCACTACCACAAGGAGAACGAAGTAATAAAGAATCGCTGGAGCATATCTTTCTTCTTCTAAAAAGTAACCTTTGGCAGGGCCTTCACTGTGCTTTTCCTATTTTCAATGCTTGTGACAGCTTTCCTTTATACCCTTACATTTATTACCAGCTTAACGTGATAGGAGAGCGATGCGACACGTGCGCCCCTGGACACTTTGGGCTCAGCTCTGACCTGAGGGAAGGTTGTAGACCCTGCTATTGTTCACACGTTACAGACATCTGCGAGCTTGCTGCACCAGACCCCAACACCCCTCATGATGTAAGTTCACAAACCTTTCTTTTTTATTGCTTAAATGGGTAGAACGCGCTCACGGCCCACCTAGTGTTAAGTGGTTACCGGAACCCATAAACATGTACAACGTAAATGCCGCCATCTACCTTATGAATTCTAAGGTATACATTTTTACAGTACAACGGCTGTCCCACCCTTCAAACCGAAACGCATTACTACTTCACGGCAGAAATAGGCGGGGCGGCGGTACCTAGCCGTGCGGACTCACAAGTGGTCCTACCACCAGTAATTACGCAAATTATAATTTTGCGGGTTTGATTTTTATACACGATGTTATTCCTTCACCGCGGAAGTCAATCGTGAACATTTGTTGAGTACGTACATTAGAAAACTTGGTACCCGCCTGCGGGATTCGAACACCGGTGCATCGCTCAACACGAATGCACCGGACATATTTTCCTACGACTTCACTATTTCTCCTTTATTAATTACTTTAATTCTTAATTCTGCTCCATTTCAAAGACCTGAGCGTGATTTTAGTAAATTAGGAGGACGATTCTCCAATCCGACTCCAGAATATTCTTCAATTTTATTTTAAATCAAAGTCATATTTTACAGATAGTCCTGCCGCTGGGCGAAGCGTGGATGATCAGCGATTCCATAGCTAACGAGACGCTGGAACCATCATTGGATGAACAAGGGAAACCTTTTGTCATTAGTTACGAGGTGCAATTTCGTGTATTTTATTGACATAGAAAGTACTACTTGTGTGTCCACTTAATACTTTCATATACATTGACATCCATAAATATATATAGTAGTATATATTAGTAGTATAGTACATAAATAGTAGAATATTGGCAATTTATATGGTACCATCCGGCTTTAGAATGAGCTCCCCTCTACGGTACTTCCCGCGCGCTATGAAATATCCTTGTTCAAACGAGGCTTACGGAGAGTGGTAGGCAGCGGCTTGGCTCTGTCCCTGGCATTGACAACGCCCATAGGCGACGGTAACTTCTCACCATAAGGGCCGTATGCGCGTCTGCGAACAAAGGCAACAAAAAAAAGAACCAAGTACATTACCAGAACACGCGGGGAGGGGGGGGAGTGTCTGTCAGTTAATTTGACACATGAGATCGAAGTGTCAAATTTTATTTATTTAAATAAGGGCTGCATTCATACTAGAGCGCGCGAATGTTACCGATCAAAAATGGACTGTCTTACTACCAAATATAAAGTCTGTTTATTAACAGCGACTCCTTGAAGTACACAAAAAATGTCGCTTCTGTCAACATCTCATTGTCTAAGTAACTCTAACACACACACTGTCTCCCAGGTAGAAGGGTGGGAGAACTTCTACTGGCTGAGCAGATCTTTCAACGGTGAACAATTTGATTCGTATGGCGGAGAAATCAGAGCAAGCTTATTCTGGGGCGTAGTACGTGGTGATTCCGGAGGAAATCCTACCGTTGGTCCTGATGTGATGCTGATTTCTGCTGGTAAGTAAGACCTCCAGATCATGATTTTAATTTCGACATGTTATATGACATGTTATAATTACTTATTGTAAAAATGAATATTTAAAAAATCTAATTTAGTAAAAAATAATCTAATATTTCAAAAAAAAAAGACATGCCCGCTGAGTTTCTTGCCAATTCTTCTCAGGACGGAGGCTAGTTCTTGTGAATTGGCGGTAGTTCTTTTGACGTTCAACAAGTATGTACTTTCATTTATGTTGAATAAAACTTTTTTGATTTGATTTGATTTGATTTGACAAAAGCATTTCGAATTTTCTTAAATACAGTGTGGCTATTTGATCCCCATTTTCTTTTCACCATTTCGTCATTTTTGTACCAGACGGCAGAATGCTAGCGTACGCCAACGCAACCCACGAAACTCCTGGACAACTGGAGCTTTCCGTACCACTGATCGAAGGGAGTTGGTACGTGGTGGGAGATGATGAACCTTGCAGCCGTTTGCAGCTGATGGACGCGTTGCGAGATCTTCGAACTCTCATGATTAAAGCTCATTTTCATATGGACCAGGATGAGGTGAGTTCATGGAATTCTTCAAAAGAAGAAAGAGGATCTTACTCAATAATAGTGAGATTGGTTATATTAATCAGTAAATACAAGAAATCCATTCTGGAACATTTCCCGTTAATATCACAAGCTCTTCTTTGATCGATAATTTGCTATGTCAACCATATGCGTTTAACGAAGATAATGTTTCGATACCCTTCTTATACCCTATGTAGATCCTTAATAATATACGTAAAAACAGTTTTATCTTCATGATATGAATGTATGTGAAGGTCTTAGATGACAAAGGTTTTACAAGAAAAACGATTGAAATGAACCATCTCATTACTGATCAAATGTTTTGTAGATCCGCCTGGAAAACGCTGAAATCCGTGCCCCCGTTACGCCAGTTAGCGAGGTGTGCTCTTGTCCTGCGGGGTACACTGGAGTCCAGTGCTCATCGTGCGCGTGGTCTCACGCCAGGATCCTCCACGCAGCGGGTGCAGTGCCACCCTTCGAGTGCGTGCCCTGCGCTTGCAATGAACACGCCTCTTGTGATACCGGTCAGTCTATTAACAATTTTTTTCCTTTCTGACCTTCACAGCAAATATTAATCAACAAAGTTTTAATTAAAGATAATTACTTTGATAAAATGTTTGGAAGAAATAGAATCCTCCCACGAATCCACCACACAAGTTACTCATTTTATTTTACCAGTTTTATTTCGATCCTTGGCTTTGTTTTTAATTGCCGTCCTTACTAGTGTTAGGTCGAGTTGTAAGCTTGTATGGATTACCTCCATCTTTAAACTTCTGGCATGAAATTACCATATTGTATTATTAGTTAGCATATTTTGGTTCCAATTTGAAGAATTCCTATGAAGTATTTATAGCCTTTACGATACTTCTCAAAATAAGGAGTGCGGCGACTTCTCGTATGCTAAAACTAATATTTTGTTGCAGTGGAAGGCCCTTGTGGCTCTTGTCAGCACAACACGACCGGTGCTCACTGCGAGCGCTGTCTTCCCGGCCATTATGGAAATCCGGTTCAGGTAAGACTCTTCTGATATAATAGACTAACCAGCCGATTTCTGCTACAGAGCAGTCTTGCATTCCCGCCTTAACAGTAAAATAGCTATAAGCCGCGCCAATTAAGAAACGAATCTAAAATGGCGGCGGCGATCATGCGCTCTCACTCTAAACTATTGCTGTCTTAAGTCGCACACGGTGCGTACTGCATCCAAAAAAAAATATCAATTCTGACTGGTAAATAATATGGCCTCTCACAAAGAGGAAAAGTCCTTCACAGTGATGTACGCGAAATCGTGTATAACGTTATGGAAAATAATCTCGAGAAATTAAAGAAAAGAAATTGTCATTTGTTTTTTATATTTTTTTACAATAAACAACTTTTTCTTTCTATCTTTCTTTTTATTTCTTGACCCTACCATCTGTCAGTGCAGGTACATAGAGGCCATTTTCGATTCGTTTCATTATTGGCGCAGCTTATAATATGAAATACAAATTGGATTATGATCTTAATGTGTGGAGGGGCGTTATCCACATGCTCTAGAATTCACATAACAACAGCTGAAACGTGAAGTATTTCACATATAATTTGGACTTTTAATACACAGGGTGCTTGCAAGCCGTGCGCCTGTCCATTGTACCTGCCTTCGAATAACTTCAGCCCGAACTGCGCTCTAGCCTCTGCTGAAGGCGACGAGTTCGTCTGCACTCAATGTCCTGACGGCTACACCGGAGACCACTGCGAAAAGTATGTATTAATGCGACTGCCTCGACGATCGAATGGTTAGGAGCCGCAATTACTATAACAAAGAGACTGGGTCCGATTTGGGTTTCCGTCAGGGAATTTTACAGGCATGTATTCAGTTCAGTTTAATTTTTAAAATCGAGGGCATTTTTATAGCATAAAAAATGTCTATGCGCCTGCTTTTAAATAAGTTTATGATCGTTTCAATTTATGATTATTCATTGAGTTTGTGTGATCCTAATCATATTCACATGATCTCATGTAACGACATTCACGCATAATAAAACCATACAGGTGATGTTACTTGAAAAATGCATATTAAATGCGATGACTAATTACGGCACTGATAAAACATATAAGGTCATTATGCACTCATTGAAGACTGCACTTATAAACTAAACCTTGCATGTAGACTACCCGTTAGCGCAACGATGCAACGTTAACTATTAGAGAATAGAAGAAACACTACAAAAACCTTGTACTTACACGCTAATGAAACTGTAGAGCTAAATTTGTAGATACATAATATACAAGTTGCCAATAACATTCAGACCGTGAGTCTCACTAGCAATGACACCCACTCCATGGAAGTTCTTTTTGATGTCTTTATTCCGAAAGTTGAAGAAAAATTGTGAAATAATAATTGGGATTCAATTGTTTCCCGGCAGTTGTGATTTCGGGTACTGGGGCTCCCCCACGACACCCGGCGGCTCGTGTCAAGAGTGCGCGTGTGGGGGGTCGCCGTGTCATCCCACTACTGGACTTTGCCTCACTTGTCCCCCGCACACAGAGGGCGCTAGGTGCGATTTATGTCAGGTACGTTCGCCATCAGTTTTGATCTCGCGTTGTCCACCCACCCTGGTGGACCCTACTATTCATAGTTCTGACAACTTGACGCTCATAGCACCAGCCGTTCTGTTTGTGACTTATGTTACCAAAACAAAGCCTAAAGGATCTCCCTTGGTATTAAGGTATTTCAAAGAGGTAGTTGATTTGTGTTCATAAATGTAACTTAAAACATATCCAGCCAGAACTGAATTGTATTGTCCTAAATGAATCAGCTAGTAGTATGAAACATTATTACCTTGAAAGGGTAATGCCAAATAAGACAACAGTAATGCCAAAGCCACAGTCAAGGCATTACCAAACGCTAAGGAGTATTATCAAACATTATTTGAAGACAAACAGTGCACAGGAAACATCCTGAAGAATTCGTTGAGAGGAATATTGTTAATACCAGATTACAGTACTCAAATTAGTTTGCAAATGAAATCTTTTCTTAGAACTGAGAGCGTCAATCTTTAAGTATATAAATTACTAGCGGCTCGCTCCGGATCCGCTCGGGTCTTTGAGAAAAATTTTAACGATATTTGACGTTGTTTTGTTTTTTTAAATAAAAGAACACTTATTGCGGTATAACGATAATAGTTAGACATATGTTGTCGCGACGCTTTTTGTAAATAATAATGTGTTCTACAAAGTCGTAGTACATTATTTTATTCTATCATTAATAGTTTTCGCAGGGCACGCGATGTAAAGAATATTTTAGGTAATTTTTTTACACCTTGGGTTACATTATTGGCAATTTTAGTAAGGATCTCTAATTTTTTTTTAAAAAAATTATAGCCTATGTCACTCGGGAATAGTGTAGCTTCCAAATAGTGAAAGAATTTTTCAAATCGGTTCAGTAGTTTTGGAGCCTATTCAATACAAAGAAACAAACAAATCTTTCCTCTTTATAATATTATTATTAGTAGGTATTAGTATTAGTATTAGTATTAGTATAGACAATCACCGCCTACCGAGGAGTTATATGCATAGTTCTTATGAAGGAGGGTTACTGGTTTGGAGCGGGCGGGTGGCAAGGGGCGGGCAGCGCGTGCGTGGAGTGCGCGTGCGGCGCCGGAGCCCTGTCTGCCGCCTGCGACGCCAGGAGCGGACTCTGCGCTTGCAGACAAGGCTGGGCTGGACGGGCCTGCGACTCCTGCGCTAGAGGACACGGAGGTAATCACTCATATCTGACCATGTCGTGACTGAAACCAATCAAACATTCTCCTAACCCTAAAATACAAGTTTAACTTTCCTAATTCGGCTTTAATGTGTGTATTAAAATAGAAATCGTCGTTTTGAAGTTGTCGTGGCCTAAAGGTTAAGACGTCCGGTGCATTCGTTCGAATCCCAGGCGGGTACCACTTTTTCTAACGAAATACGTAATCAACAGATGTTCACGATTGAAGGAATAAAAATCACACCCAGAAAATTATAATTTGCGTAATTACTGGTGCTAAGACCTCTTGAGAGTCCGCGCGGGTAGGTACCACCACCCTGCCTATTTCTACCGTGAAGCAGTAATGCGTTTCGGTTTGAAGGGTGGGGCAACCGTTGTAACTATACTCGAGGCCTTAGAACTTATATTTCAAAGTGGGTGGCGCATTTACGTTGTAGATGTCTACAGGCTCCAGTAACCACTTAACACCAGGTGGGCTGTGAGCTCGTCCACCCATCCAAGCAATAAAAAAAGTCGCTCTTATGTAGGGCTATCAGCTGGATGTCCAGTATGTCGCTGTGGGATCGCAGCACGAAACAACATCTGTGATCCTGTCTCCGGCGGCTGCCTCTGTGCGCCAGGCGCAGCACCGCCATCTTGTGACAATTGCTTAGATGAACACTATGGCCTCGACGTTTCCGGCTGTCAAGGTAAGTTTTCTTTTAGTTTATATTGTCAATAAGAGATGGCGCAAATTTTTTGTTTAGTACAAAGAATATAGATGGCGTTTTAAAATTATTTTCAGTTTATAAGGACCAAGCAGAATTATAACTATTTTATCACTAAATTAATGATGCGGCTTCAGCCCACTGAGTTTCTCGCCGGATCTTCTCAGTGGGTCGCGTTTCCGATCCGGTGGTAGATTCTGCGAAGCACGGCTCTTGCTAGGGTTCGTGTTAGCAACGTCATCAGGTTTGAGCCCCGTGAGCTCACCTACTAGCCACGGTTACGCTGAAATAGCCTCTCAAGGCTATCAGCTTAGGTAGGAAAAAAAAAAAAAAAANCTCAGACACAGCCCACTGAGTTTCTCGCCGGATCTTCTCAGTGGGTCGCGTTTCCGATCCGGTGGTAGATTCTGCGAAGCACGGCTCTTGCTAGGGTTCGTGTTAGCAACGTCATCAGGTTTGAGCCCCGTGAGCTCACCTACTAGCCACGGTTACGCTGAAATAGCCTCTCAAGGCTATCAGCTTAGGTAGGAAAAAAAAAAAAAAAAGATGCGTCTTCGATTATTAGTGTTTGTTCGTGTTTAATGATTTGTTTAAGAATGTTTTTACCAAATGTGACGGATTAATAGTTTCGAAAATGTCGTAGTTCGGAAATATTTTGTGAGATACATATTATGTGCTCATATGTATGTATGTATGTATACCACAAAATATTTCCTTATAGTAAGAGAAAAGCTTTCACTAGTATTTTACAAATGTTCTTTCTGATGGTGGGGCATTTTGTGAGCTCGAATGGGTAGGTACCGCTACCCTGCCTATAGTTGCCGTGAAGTATGAGCCGTTGTACCTACTATAAAACTCACACTTCGAACTCAGGTCGCAATGCGGGTGGCGGCATTTATTATGTTGATGTCTAGGGGCTCCAGTAACCTCTTAGCACCAGATGGGCCGTCAACTCGGCCAACCATCTAACCAAAAAGATAATAAATGAAGATAACTACTATAAAACTGAAATTACGTCATAATAGTTATTTTTTTTTTTTTATTGCCTTTGTAGGCAGACGAACATACGGCCCACCTAATGGTGAGTGGTTACCGTCGCCCATGGACTTCAGCAATGCCAGGGGCAGAGCCAAGCCGCTGCCTACCGCTTAATACTCTCCACAAGCCTCGTTTGAAGTAGGACATGTCATAGCGCTCGGGAAACACCGTGGAGGGGAGCTCATTCCATAGCCGGATGGTACGTGGCAAAAAAGACCTCTGGAAACGCACTGTGGATGACCGCAGTGGCTCCAGGTAGTATGGATGAACTCTACTCCGGTGGCGGGCGGCGCGATGGTAAAAACGAGATGCCGGTTTCATCTCGAACAATTCCTCAGAGCACTCCCCGTGGAACGTACGGTACAAAATACAGAGGGAACCGAAGTCCCTCCGCAGACCCAGAGGTTCCAAACGATCCGTGAGAATTAAGTATTAAGGACTACGAAACTAGGTTACGGCTAATACGTTATAAAACATGTTCCCACCACCTTTAACTTGCAAAGGATTCGAGCTATTGATTGAAAACAGACCTCGCTTGTGCAAGTGCTAGTTGGCAAGATGTTTATTTGTGGTGTGCGTTTAGAAACGCATGGTGCTTACTTGCATAACACCGACACAGTTCCTAGCGAACAAACTGTAGGTACATTCAACTATTTTTGTATAACCATAACAAATTAATGCAGCCATCGACAAAACGATTGAATCCTTGAACAACAGTTAGCTTATTAGTTTCTTGGTAGGTACCTACCTTATTGTTTGTGAAACTAAATACGACAAACTGAGTGTTCTGTGCATTTTGAACGCAGCTCAAATTTCACGGTCATTACCAGCCTGCTAACTTATGGTGTGCTGGCTGTGTCCTTTATCATATTATAGGTACCATTTCTTCGTTCACTCCTCTCTTACACATATAATTTTTCACGCAATCCATCCATTTCTTCTTAGGTCTACCTCTTCCTCTATATCCTTTCACATCCATAGTTAATACTCTCTTACAAATCTCATTTTCATTTTGTCTCATCACATGTCCATACCATCCCAAACGCGCACTTCTCAACTTTTCTGTCATAGATACCACTTTCAGATTTAATACATAATGATGAATCTCAACTCAAAAACCATTGTCGAATGGAAGAGAAGCGACAAAAATCTGTGCGAGTTCCTAGTAACAACATGGAGAGCCTCAGTCTACTGACAGTGACTAGCACCTGCTTTTTTCCAGTCTAAGCTGATGGTCTTGAGAAACCATTTCAGCGTAATCTTAACTAGTAGCTAAGCTCACGGGGCTCAAACCTGATGACGTTGCTAACACGAACACTAGCAAGAGCCGTGCTTCGCAGAATATACCACCGGATCAGAAACGCGACCCACTGAGAAGATCCGGTAAGAATCTCAGTGGGCTGTGTCTGAGGGTTCATTTACTCGCCGAGCCCTTCATCGTAAGCGACGGCTTGAACAAGAACGATGACCGGTGCTTGAAGTACCTAAAAGCACCGTTAGTGGATCGGGGGGATCCGAAATGACGTGTTTTGGGTGACGTCGACTGCTTACCATTCGGTCCGTAGGATCGGGAATGAACCCGCTTGTTGGACTACTCTCCCTTTATTAAGGATTTTTTGTTACTCATATTACCGCCGCTCTCACAATATACTCGAGATTAAGTGGTTAAGGGAAACAGTAGTCATTATAATGTGAATGCCGCTTCCATCATTACGAAATTAGGTTCAAATTTAAACTGTAAAGGTAACACTTCGAATGAGAACAGATGACTGCCTCACAGCACAAATAGGCAATCGCGGTGATTGCCCGTGCTAGCTTTGGTGGTAGGACCACTTGTGAGTCCGCACGGGTAGGTACTATCACCCTGCCTATTTCAGCCTTGAAGCAGTAATGCGTTTCGGATTGAAGGGTGGGACAGCCGTTGTAACTATACTTGAGACCTTAGAACTTATATCTCAAGGTGGGTGGCGCATTTACGTCGTAGATGTCTATGGGCTCCAGTAACTACTTAACACCAGGTGGGCTGTGAGCTCGTCCAACCATATTAGCAATAATAATAATAAAAAATTGCTCACCATACGGCCTGTTCTTGTTATTCTAAGCAGACAAGCATGCGACCTACGTGTTGGTAAGTACTCGTCGTCGCTCATGGACATCAGTATTGCCAGGGGTACAGCCAATCCGCTGCTACTGCTACCCCGAACTATATGGAAAAAAAAGTACATCGAACGCTTAATATTCATTATCGTCAATCACCATTAGACCCGACGAGTCAGAATTTGGGTAATTGAAAACAAACTGAACAAAATATTACACGACCAGTTAATGGAGTTGATATTATCAGATATCGTCACGACAAATCTCTCAGGCTTATTATCTGGATTGTTGTTCATAATTTGAAAACGACTGACCCACCGCAGACAGCTCGAGGCGAGTGTTTCCGCTTGCATTCCAAGAACTCATATTGTAGGCATTTTAATATTTTACCATATTAGTGTTTTTAGAAAACTTCCTTAATTGGCTGTCTAATGAAGGCCCAGAGGCTTTGTTGCATCGGCCTGGAATAACACCACCCGATTACTTCCTGTTTAAATCGTAAAATTATGTTGTCTTAAAAAAACTAGTGGTCCCACAGTAGTCGAAATTCAACTATAATGAATTGAAAATTTAGGTTTGTACATTATTATGGCTCTATTGTCAAAGACTATTAAACTTCTATAATCACAGATTTCGCCAAAACTATAAACAAATAATATTAAAGACAAACAATATTAATCTACTCTCAATTTGACCACAGAGTATAAACAATAACAAAAGTTTGACATTAAACATTGCGTGTTAGTGTGTGTCAAATACATGATAGTGTGCGTAATGTTTTTTTTATTGATTTAAAGTATTAATAATACATAATTAAAAACAATTTTAACATTCTGCACTCCTTCTTTATATTCTCTACAAGTGTGGGAAGTTTCATACTCCTCCGTCCGCGCAATTTTGGTAAAAAGGGGTACAAAGTTTTTGCTTCACGTATTAATTAATATAAAGATACTAAAACCGAAGAAAACACTATGATTTGCGTCTGACACACATCATCGTAAAATTATACCTCTAGAATTCTAATAGTACTGCAATCACAGCAGCTGCTCGATATAATTTTGAAGTCAAGATAATACACGTCATTCCGTTTTAATGACACATCCGGGCTGGTATCAAACACAGTGCCAATTTATTAATGAAACGAGGACTGGTAGCCGCAGACTGCAGGCCGCTTCGTAGAATTCAAAATATAGTTGTACAGTGCTTCTATTCTTCTCCATGTCATCCCACTCAGAGGGGCCGTGATATCATGTTGAGGCTTAATTTGACCTAAGCGTTGTATGATCGGTCGTCTTCCTAACATCAACTTAAGAGTTAACATGCAAGTACTCTGAGGAATTATTTGAAATAATGATCCCATCATCTCGTTTTTACCACCGTACCGCCCGTAGAGTAGAGTTCATCCATATTACTTGGAGCCACTGCGTTCATGCACAGTACGTGGAGAGATCTTTTATGCCACATACCATCCGGCTTTGGAATGAGCTCCCCTCCACGGTGTTTCTTGAGCGCTATGACATGTCCTTCTTCAAACCAGGCTTGTGGAGAGTACTTAACGGTAGACAGAGTACTTAACGGAGAGTACTTAACGGTTACTGAAGTCCATGGATGACGGTAACCACTCACCATCAGGTGGGCCGTATGTTCGCCTAACTACAAGGGTAACAAATAAAAGTACCTCGATTATTGCCCATATCAGCCGCGGTTAACAACAGCTATATAAAACAAGGGATGAGACGCTGCACTCATAACCCACAGACACAGCCCACTGAGTTTCTCACCGATCTTCTCAGTGGGTCGCGTTTCCGATCTGGTGATAGACTCTGCGAAGCACGGCTCTTGCTAGA